GGGCGCGCCGCCGCCGCCCCCTCCGGCTTCCCGCTCCCACTTCTCCTTTTGCAGCCCCGTGCGCCCTGCGCTTCTCCTCGGTCCCTCAGTGACGCACAGGTCCCCTCGGGTGCCGCCCTCTATTTCACTTCCCTCTCCGAAACGTGATTCTCCCTCCAGCACGTCTCCCTGTCTCCAGTCTCCTCGTCTCTCGGCAGGGGGTGTGGGGTGAAAGAGCTAAAGCGTTTGGGATAAGGGTCTACGTTACAGAATTTCCAATTACTCATTCCTTTGGTCTCTTCCCAGAAGCGGAGCAACTCCGCCTCCCACCTTCCAACAGGCGCGCCCGGGCCCCTCGGGAAGTGGCCGCAGTCGGCGAGTCTGGCGGTCCTCACGTTGTGCCTGGGTGCCGGCTTCCCGGGGTGACTAAAGCAGGTCTTTATCAGTCCCCAGGGGGTGAGGAGTGGGGCATCGACTCGGATTTCCTCATTTGGAAAGACTTGGTCATTCCCTCACAACCCTCATGGAGTTCAGGGGGGCATGAACGCTGGTCTGTTTCTGTACCCAGCGCTGCCCTATGTCCGTTTCACACAGCCCTTCAGGTTCTGAAGCGTGACCCCAGAAGGAGATTATACACTGCACTCATTTTTGCAAGGTGAGCCCACAGCCTCTGCTTCCGACGTTGCCCTCAGAACTTCGCTAACATTAAAGTGTTCACTCCACACAAATACCGACTTTGCTTTTTAACAGTTCAGACACTGCTACACATTTTTCTTTCACTTGCTTGCATGTTTTCTGCCTGTTCTTGAATTGCATTACTCTACCCATTTCTTCTGAGGATGAAGTAACTGCACAGAAGAATGTTTAATAAAAGTCACCGCTGAAGTATTGCTGTCTCAGGGGCTGTTGGAAAGGGCTTTGTATTCGAAATAACCTGCTGCCTCTAATGAACAGGACAATGAGGTTATTTGCAGACTGCATAGATAAACTACTGCGGTATCTGTGGGTTAACAGGGAGGCTGGCGTGTCAACCGTTATGTGGGTGATAAAGCTTTGCTGTGTTCCCATGCTACTAAATGAAGCCATGGGTCCACTTTTGTTTCTAATATGCTTTGATGGTGCTGTTAGGCCTTTTGATTTGCAAATAGAAGAAAATTCCCTAAGCAGAAACTTCACAAGAGCCAAAAATTATACCATGTAAGGACACAATCTGCACATGAACTCTCTCAATGAAAGATCATGCAAATAAAGGACCGAAGTCATCCCAGCCTTCAAAAGAACCACCCAGGGGAGGGGGCTAACAGAAGAGGACACAAAGCTGTCTAGTGTAACCTAACCCAGTCTGTATCTTTCTGTGTGACTTCCCTATCTCACTGTCCTAACACTCTTTGGTCAATGAAGTATCATCGGAAAGAAGGAAATGAAGGAAAGTAAGAGCAAAATGGAGGAAACGCAGAGAGCTATGTCTACCACTAGCAGCTAACAACTGCAACTTCTCCATACGGGTAACCCTCAAACCTGTAAATGAGTTGACCTGAACGAATCAAATTTATTTTTCCTTTGAATCCAAGTTAAACAAGGTTGCCACCCAAGAGCCTGAGGACCAACTTTCCATTGAGATGGCCCCAGTCCTACGTGAAATCAACCATAAATGGCATCCACCAGTCAATAGATGTTACTCTGAGCATCTGTTGCAAGCTAGGCATTGTGCAAAAATACTGAAGGTTCATGAGTGAGCCAGCGCTGACGTGGGCCCTTCGTTTACAGAGCTTCCGGGCGTTCTTGTGTAATGAAGGGTTAAAGTTCCTGAATTAAACTAGCCGATGTTTATCTCATGTGTCTCTAGGCACAGGCCAATGTGATCAGTGTATACCTGGTGTGAGGCTGCTCTGGGGTCATGGAAGAAGACTCATGGCTCTCCAGAAGTTTCCAGAAGACTTAAGGCCAACATCCCAAGAGGTCCTCTTCCCTTTCTCTTCTTCAGCCAGAAGGGACACAACAAACTCAAAAGCAGAGAGTCCTGCACAAGAAGCAAGGCAGGGGTTCCCTGAGTAGAGAGGGCCTGAGCACGTTAAGAAACAGGCCCAGCCATAGTAGGACATGTTGGCTGCTGCTGCTGCCGCTACTAGGCAGAACTGGAGCCACATGAGAGGCAGGGGTTCAATTCTCAGCACCCCCCCTAGAAGCCAGGCAGGGTGGTAAGCACACCTTAGTGCAGTGACTGGAAGGTTGAGGCAGAAGGAGCACAAGCTTGTAACCAGTATGAGCAACATCATGAGACTCAGTCTGAAAGAACTGGGAGTTGGGGCTGTTATCTGTGGTCCCAGCTACATGGGAGGCTGGAGCAAGAGGGTCGTGACATAGCAAGACTCTGTCAAAAGAAAAGAAAAGAGAAAAAGAGAAGAGACAAGACAAGACTAATTAGGCAGGTCATCTGGTCCCAGCCATAAGGAACAATGTATATGATTGGGAGAATGCTATAAGCGTGAATTCTTTGTACACTAATTATCTTTTTTAAAAGGATTATTTTATTTAACTTTATCTATCTATCCATTTACTTATTTTGACTAGAGAGGGACAGAATGACGGGGGGGGGAGGGGAGTGAGAAACTGAGCTGCCAGGTCTGGGACTTGAACCACGGTTGTTGGTCATGTGGGAGTCCAGTGCCCTTAACCACCATGCTATCTGCCCCTACCAGTTATCTTAAACAGTTGAAAACTATCAGTTTCCTGTAACAGTCTGATAAAATTTCTTCTACTTTTAAAACAAAAATTTCCTATAGTAACTTACCCCTTCCTGTGACCAACTTGCCTAAAGCACAGATATAAGGTGACTCCTTCCTAACAGCCATTTCCTCATTCACTTGCTGGGTCGTGTTATAAGATGCTCCTCAGGCTTGTACTGGGGGACACTTCTGGGAAGCATTGCGCCTCCTGGGCCTCCAGCATACCCCTGCGCCCCTCAGTTGCTTGACAGAAAAGGAGGGTGGATGCCCATTACTGAAGCAGTGGGTGGATACATTTCCCCACCTCCATTGTCATCTGGGCACGGGACACTGGATCAAGATGAACAGATTTGCATCTAGGATGTGGTCAAAAATCATAAGACTAGCCTGGGCTTTCCATCCTCTGATCCCTCAAATTTGCTTTTTGTAACTAAAAAAAAAGTTCCTCTCCCCCACCCCACCACAATATTTCTAAGAATCTTTTAGGTATATTTACTGCTTCTTCATTCTGGCTAGCCAACGACAGACAAAAGGAAATACTTGAAGACTAGATGCCACAAATGAGTTTTTGTTTTTTAAGAATTATTTA